TGTCAACTGCAAAAAAAAAAAAACCACACACACGCACGCACGCATGCACGCGCAAACGCAAAGTTATGGCTTACCACTCCAGCTTATGTAGCATCTTAAATGAAGAACAATAAATTTGTAGGGAAATGACAGAAGGAAACCGTTCTAGGCTTCCAAGGACGGCAAGCTGTGGGATGGTAAGTACATGGGAGGGCACTCATTGAGTAAGGTTTGTTTGCAGATTGCCCTGGGCTGATAGGAGACTGTCTCCAGTAAAGGGAGAATTTATAGCTTACCTTTAGGCAGAAAAGGGGAGGAGAGGGAGAGCTTTTCTTGGGTTTCCTGCTTCTTAATTGCCTTTAGCTCAAAATAGTTTTTATGTCCAAGAGGCATATTTTGGGGGTGACGTATTCTAATTTCCTTCAACTAAAACAGGAAGCCGCTACCACCCTCAGGGTGGAATGAACAATGTGACAAGATAGAGTTCCTAGGACCAAGAGGCAAAGCTCTTTGGAGGAAGCTAACAGAAGTGGGAACTTTCTTGTGACAAGTGACACTGCTCTGGGTGGGGCTATCCCAGGAAGCTAAAGCCAGGAAGAGGATGCTTTTGCTGCCAGAGGTCATGCCCAAGAGTGAGAGAGGAGCCCAGGGTCTCCCACGTCTGCCCTCCCATCTCTAGCAGGTACCTTGCACTGGCCAGACCTAGATATAAACCCACTGAGGTGGGAGCCTGGAGAAAGCAGCCTGCAGAAGTGGGCTTTTCTTTCTTTTCCTTTCCTTTTCCCTTTTAAAAGATTATTTATTTATTTGAATGAGAGAGCACAAAGGGAGAGGGAGAGGGAGAAGCAGACTCCCTGCTAAGCAGAGAGCCTGATGTGGGGCTTGATCCCAGGACCCTGAGATCACGACCCGAACCGAAGGGAGATGCTTCACTGCCTGAGCACCCAGATGCCCGGAAGTGGGCTTTTCTATGACACTGGGTGGAATGAGGTGCCTGCCTGAGAAACAGATCTGGAGGCGAAGGTGCAGCGGATCATCCCATACCTCTTTTCTTCCCCACAACTTACATTGCGACCTCTGGTCTTCTCTCCATTCCTAAACACAGGACAAATGTTCATGCTTTCACTACTGCAGCATGGCATGCAGTCTCTATGTTTCTTCCTATTGGAATTTAACAAATTGTTCAAAGCCCAATTTGACTGCATTTTATAACTTTTCTCATGCTATCAGTTACATAGAGTATCCCACTTGTACTTTATAGTACTTTGGTTATATTTCTTTTGTAGCAATAATTTTTGCTTTACAGTATGGTGACTTATGTATGTATCCTTCTCTCCTAATATTAAAAATATTTTTGGCTAATGCTTGACCAAAAAGCCCCCCTGATTCAACACTTTCTTTGATGCCAAAATGTGTGGATTGTGAGTTGTATCCAAAGGGCATTACCTGAAGTTGTTTGCCTCCATCCATGGCCCAGGGACTACAGTGCCAGGATGAATTTCTATTAGTTCAAGACACAGGAAAAGAACTTTCTTCCTGAGGTATGGGGAGGTTGAAGCTACAATGGATGTCAAGATTTTGCTCTGTCTTTAGGAGAATCCATTGTTGGCATGAAACTAATGTAGTTAGAAAAATAAGTACATTGAATTTTTTTGGAAAAGATTTTATTTATTCATTTGAGAGAGAGACAGAGAGCCCACAAGCAGGGGGAGAGGGAGAAGCAGACTCCCCACTGAGCCAGCTGGGAGCCCGAAGTGGGGCTTGATCCCAGGACCTGGCGATCATGACCCAAGCCAGAGCTCAATCATCTGAGCCACCCAGGCGCTCCAGTACATTGAATTTTTTTAAAGACTGTTGTTTTCTTCGAAATACAGAGAAGATTTCTATCTCTTTTTCAAGACAAGGCTCCAGAGGGTGAGAAAGTTATGGTCAGTATGTTTTTCCTTTACAAGTGGTATGGAGGCTGATTTAGTAACACCAGTATTAGGGTTGGTCACTATCTGCAGGTGTACCTTCAAACTACGTATTTTCCAATGTCTCATACTACAAATTTCTCAGTATTCTGCGAAGAGATAATTCACCTGTTCAACAATTTTCCCTATTAAGCATCGATGTGCCATGGACCGTGCAAATGTTTCAGGAGGGTTATCTGCACAAAGTTTGGTTACGGTGATCTCCGGGATGGTGAGACGGTTCCTTTCAGGGTGTGGATAGGGGCTATCAAGGGTCCAGTTTGGATTAAAATGATACCATCTAACTGCCAAGGGCATGCATTTTAACAGATAGGCCTTAGTTAGTCATTCCCAGATCTCAGTATCTAGAAACTTGCAACTATTTTGTGATACCACAGACTTGAGATAGTCTTCAAAGTCTCAGACTATGGATTTGTGAGACTCCCTCCTGTACTGCTGTGATTTTGCTTCTTTTCCAGGCATATTTTGTTTTTAAAACATTTAGCACTCATCTGGGCTACATTTTCTATGCATTCCATATTTCTATGCATGGAAAATATGCTTATCCTGAAAATCATGTAAATCGTAAGTTATAAGAATGGACTCTTATTTGTATCTGAGAAAATGGATTCCTTCCATCCTTCAAGATTATTATTCATGAGATTCTCTACAGTGTAGAGTATTGTTCCAGATTCTAGAGTCTGAGGAGGTAGCATTAAAATGGGACTTTGGAAGCAGGGATTCAACATTTTGCTCTATCGTTAAGTCGTTCTGTGATTTGAGGTTAATTTCTTTACTTCTGTAAGATTTAGTTTATTTGTAAAATTAGGAGCTTGGACTTTACAAGATTAATTCTAAGCTCTTTTACAGCTCTGAAAGTCTATGATATTATGATTTAAATATTTGCATATATGGGGCAGGCAGCTAAACCTCTATGAAGTACCCACCTCTGACACATGAGGTCCTAAGTGATATAACCTGATTTTGCAAGTATCTTTGATGAGCTAGTGGTGGGAGAAATACAGAAAGACACTGGCAACCTATAGGTTACAGACCATCTTTCTGTGACTTTCATCTCACCTTTCCCTCGTTTTCTATTCAAAACAAGTTTTATCACAATTTGCGGCTGAGTAGAATCAAAGCAGGACATAAAAATCAATCCATGTTTATTCTGTTTTCATAGATCATTTAAAATTACCAAATGATGTGCCAAGGATCTGTAATTGGTCCCGGCGTGTCATTTGTGGGCTCAAATGAGGAGACTGTATGTCCAGAGAAGTGAGAATACCATTTCATTACTCCAGGCAGGTGAAGTCTGTGCAGACAGGAAGAGACAAGCTCATAATCCACAGTGAGGCCCGGCCAGTGGGGAAGGCAGGAGAGCGACAGATGGAGCAGATAGGAAGGGACAGGCAGATCGGGGCAACGAGGACTCGAGAGGCTGGGAACACATCTGCACTGGGAAAGAATCATGGGAATGCAGGCCCTGGGAGCTTCAACAGTGATCCTTGATCAGGATGATGGCTAGGTGGCTCTGTCAGCTGCTAATTTCATGTTTTCTCTTTTTTGCCATTGGTCACAAAATGAATCAGTTGCAGTAAGAGCCAGTATCAGTCATAAAACGACAACACATTAACTGTTATTTTCCCTGCACAACATTTATTACTGTTGTTTTCCCTTAATGCCAGTTATTATAAATACATTGCAAAAATTTAGAATAATATGCAGGATTATAAGACAAAGACTCACAAGGGCTGATCGTAACCCGTGCACTCTTTTCAATCGTCATTTATTAATTTATATGATGCTTCAGAGTGATCAAATCCCCTCACCAAAATCAAAGATTAAGGACAGCCAAACTACGCTTAAAATATCTAAAGAAATATGTTGTTTACTTCATTCTTCCCAGGTGCCTGCCAAAAAGTGCCTGGATATTCAAAGAGATGGAGAATCAGGTAGCTTCTTGGCTGTATAAGTCACCAGTGAAACCTGCCTACATTTCTGAGAGTTCTTCCTAAAAATGACCCATTACAAGCGGCTCCACCTAGGCTTAAATGGGCGACCTGCTGTTTTAATGTGGTGTTTCCTAGCTGGAGCTGTAGAAACGCATCAGAAAGGGCACTCACACTTAAATGTTCAGTGGATTTTCAATCAAAGTTCCAAAGTCATTCAGCAGGAAAATATCACCTTTTCAAAAATAGTGCTGGAACAAATAAATAAATGCAGGGGGAAGAAAGAGACTCCAACCCTTATCCCACCCCATATACCAAGGTTAACCCCAAATGGGCCATAAAGTTAAATGTAAGAGCTAAAATTATTTAAGAAAGCTTAAACGAAAATCTTTATAATACTGGATTAGACAAAGATTTCCTAACCAGAACCCAAACCCCACATAAAACAAAAATTGAAAAATGGACTAGATCAGGGGCACCTTGGTGGCTCAGTCAGTTAAGCGTCTGCCTTAGGCTCAGTTCATGATCCCAGGGTTCTGGGATGGAGTCCCACTTTGGGCTCCCTGCTTAGCTGGGAGCCTGCTTCTCCCTCTCCCTCTGCCACTCACCTTGCTTGTGCTCTCTCTCTCTCTGTCAAATAAGTAAATAAAATCTTTTAAAAAAAGAATTATAAGAAAAATGGACTAGACCGAATTAAAGATGTTTTCTTTTTGAAATATCTATGTCAACAAAGAGCTGATAGCTGAAAATATAAGCAAAAGACTTCATCCAGAGCATATAAAGAACTCTTACTCAAAGATAAAAAAATTTTAAATGGGCAAAGGATTTGAAGAGATACTTCACAAAAGTGGCCAATTACATCACAACCCATGACAAAGGATGACCAACACCAGCAGTTGTCAGGGAAATGCCATTGAAAACACTGCACTGCCTATGATTTATCTTATAGCAAGTCCTGCCTTTAAGAAATTAACATTACACTGAAGGCTTCTACTTCCATAATTTGGGAGAATAAGCATTCTATGGTTATTGAGAAGCAGCAAGCAATAGTGAAGAGATATAGAAGTAATTGGGTTCTGAGTACTTGAATACTCAGAGCTCAGTATCTGCATGGAAATATAATAAAAGGGCCGAAAAAGGGTATCCAATGGCATTTCAGACATGAGTAGTCATCATAACTTCATACTCTCTCTGTGGCATTTCACCTGCCAAAGATCTCCTTGGGACCAGATTCCATTCTCAGGTAGGTCATAGGTTGGACTCTTCTGTGTCACATAATTGTATTATCTCTACTATCACAAAGTGAATCCCTTTGACACTCAGTGAAAATATAATCTACTTTATATTGTAAAGACATCTCTCAGGATTTCCAGCCTAAGGTCACTTTTTCTTGGAATGAAACAGACAGCTTTATCATTTGGCAATCCTAGTAGCAAAAGTGTTGAGACTATTATTTACTTTTAAAAAGAGATTAAAAAAAAAAAAGTGCCGCTTCTGGTTTTAAGGGAGTAGCTTGCATCAGAGCAAACTTCCTGTCTTGAAACAAGCAAAAAACACTGGATACAGTAAAAAAAAAGAGTCAATAAATGAAAATGGCTATTTAAAAGCACAGGGAAAAACAATAAAAACATTGGAAGGTAACCAAGACAACCAGAAATAAGAAAGAAAAAAAATACAACACTGAGGTAAGGTCTTCTTCCTCTGCAACTTTTGCCCCTTGAGGCACTTGCTGATGAACAGATTTGAAGGTCAAAGTCTAAATAAAAGAGGCTTAAAGCTTGTTGTAATATCACCTGGCTAATGATGTAAAATACCCAGGCACTCCTGACTTCACCTGCAAGGTCCTGAAGAAAAGGGAACCACGGAGAAGTGAAGCCATCTTTCTAGTTGGCTTTTGCCCTCATAATATTTTATAAAATGACTAAGGATCCTACTCTGAAGGACCTCAGCTTGTTTTCTGTGGAAATACCTGGAGCTTCCCAACTCTTTGTTCAGAATTAGCCTCCAGAGACCACCACAGGGGGAAATTTCCAGTACAAGGCCTTCCCTTTTTTGTGTGAATAGTTTAAGGTGAACTAATCCCCCATGGAAAACAATAAAAGAAACCCAAGAGTCTTGAGACCAACGTCTGATGAAGAAAGGATTAAATGTACAAAGACGGAAGAACAATGAATTTAGAGGAGTGAGGGGCTGGCTGCATTGGTTCTCATGTTTTTTTCTGGAAACTGGTTCCTGGGTATCTGGTTGTAGAGACCACCAAAGGTCTCATAGCACCTCACTCTCTCACCAAAGTGACTTTAGGGTAGGAGTCAGCAAACTTTTTCTGTTGAAACTGGGTAGTCAATATTTTCAGTTTTTTGGGTCATCTAGTCTCTGTCACCGCTAGTCTGCTCTGCTGTTGTCGAAGGAACGCAGCCAGAGACAAAACGTAAATAATGAAAACGGCTGTGTTCCAACAATTTTATTTACGGACACTGAAATTTAAATAAATTTCATCTCATTTTCATGCATCATGAATTACTATTTTCTTTTGATATATTTTTTTTCACCATTTAAAATCTAAAAAACAAGGTGATGAGGATTAAGGAGAGCACTTGCTGTGATGAGTGCCTGGTGTTGAATGGAAGTGTTGGATCACTAGATTGTGCACTTGAAACTGATATTACACTGTGCATTAGCCAACTGGAATTTAAATAAAAACTTTAAAAAATAAACAAAATATTTTAAAAATCCCCACTTTTCAGTCATAGGCTGTACGAACACAGGTGATGGGTGCATTGGACCCCTGGCTATGGTTTTCTGATCTCTGTCTTAGGGTTCAGGATCCTCAGGAGTTTTGGTACTCTTTCTCTGTAATGAAGGCATTATGGTCATATGGAATTTTGGGGGAATACTCTGAAGACAATCTGTTCCTGGAATCGACTTCAGCTGCTAAATAGCCACATCATCAAGGAAGAGAAGATGGCTTGTTAGTTTCATGGTTATTCTCTGTGGAGGCTCCAGAAATAACTTGCTTGATTTTTCTCCTTCTTCAGAGTAACAGGCTCGAAACATGAATGAGAAATCATTCAATATGACATGCTTTACTGTCAAGAAGGTAATGTGGAGTGAGACATAATTTATGTTTTTGTCGTTGAAATTTTACATTTGTTAATGAATGGCTTCTATTTATGAACAGGTATAAGACCACTAGATTCCTGCACATGTGCCGGGGGGCCATCAGTAAGGAGGCGAGTGACTGGCTGTCTGGCTGAAGCAACATTAAACATACTGACACGTATCTTTTATGAGTCGAGCCAGGAACAGTCTGATAAATGCGAAAAAAAAGAAAGGCAAAATGGCAGTAAGATAATAAGGGCATAGGATAGTACGCATCCAATTGTAAAATTGTTGTAGTTCAGAGATTTATACTCAAGTGAAAAAAAAAAACCCAACCAGAAATCTATCCCTAAGATTATAATAAGTTTACGCAAATCTTTTTAATGCAAATGAGAAAGCGTTAGAAATGAATTTTAGGTGGACATAAGGATACCCCATTCCAAGGCAAGTTTCCAGTTTTGGAAAAGAAAATCAAACCTGATGTTTATAGCAAATTTGGGAAATGGTTTTCTCACCGCTATCAAAAAACAGCCTCCTGTTTTTCCCTGAGAGAGTACTTTTAAAAAAGGCCTTAAGTCTGCGGAATTTCGCTGACATAGAGAAAAGTTAAGGCGGAACATACTAAGACAACAGTAAGAGGTTGCTTCAGAGAGGGTGTCTTTGGCAAGAAATGGAGTATTTGAGTGAAAAGATTCACAGTACTGGCTCTCAAATCACGGTAGAGTTGTCCTAGTCCAGCAGCAAGTGGGAGTTTTGCAAAGGCCATTAACTGAAGGGACCAGTAGATGGCATAAATAAGTCAGGATAGACTCAGAGGCTCAAGGAAAGGAAAAGAACATTCTGGCAGCTCCTCACTTTTATGTCTAATGCTTCTGTCTGAGTTGGACTATTTGCCTCTCTGATCCTAGCACTCTGAGCTATTGTTGCGACTTTAGTTCACATTCAAGAACGGTCCCACAAACACGTCCTGAGGTACTTAGGACCAAACCTCAATGAACTGACGAGATCAAGAGAATTATATTTACCAGCATTATTTTCCTATACCCCCATGCTCTTTTTCCTTTCTAACCCCTTCTTTTCCTTCTTCCTCTGTCCCTCCCTTCCTTTATGCCTCAGGAGCAAATAGGTGAGCCCCTTATACTCTGCTCACGATCATCACCTGTTGTAAAACCCTCTCATTTTTAAACTTTTTCCCCCTCTCTTCCTGGACTTCCAAACAGGTGTCCCCCGTAGGCATTCATGTGCATGTATTTGATATCTACTCTTGAAAGTGTATGTACACGGGTGACATATGTAGCGTTTTATACATGTTTATATTCATAATTTTCACAAATGACATTATTTGTTGATTTTTTCTTCCTCATTTTTTCACTGAACGCTAGGTTTCTGAGAAACGTTCGAGTTGCTGTTACTTCTAATTGCTATCTATGATTATTCCATGGTATGCACGTACTACATTTTGATTGGTTATTCCTTTAGTGATGGACAAAGCTGGGCCTCGATTATTTAGGGGTTATCTTTAGTTTGTTATCTTTCCTTACTTAGCACATTGTCAGACTTTAGGAAAAAACTACATTTTGTCAAATGGCTTCTAAAAATGTGATAAACAGTGAATCAGACTGAGAAAGCAAGCTGTGTGTTTTAGAAAAGCATTCTGAGGTCAGCACAGATCTGCTCTGCTCCTTTAAGGCTACTATTAGAAGGACTTTCTGATTCTGATTATTCCTAATTTTTACATTTTTTACTAAGCATAAGGAGGAAAATCAAGGAGATATTTATGTTCATTCCATTCTTAAATTTATGTTCTCTTGTTCTAACAGTGGAATTTGAAGAGAGAACAAAAGCGAGAATGTTATAAAATTAAAATAACTGGTTAGTGTTTTATAACTAACATCACAATCATTTCTCACCTGACTCCTCTCTACATACATAATACTTTTTATGGAAAATGCGTATGTGCTCTGCAACATTAAACACCAGTAAAATATTTATGCCAGATAGATGGGCAATATGGTAGAGTGGAAAGACGAGATTTTTTGGTATAGACCAGGAGGGTCAAACTTTTTCTATAAAGGCTGCTATGGATGAATTGTGTCTTCTCAAAATTTGTGTTGAAGCCCTAACTCCCCATGTGACTATATTAAAGATGGGGTATTTAAGAAGGCTATTAAAGTTAAATGAGGCTGTAAGAATAGAGCCCTGATCCACCAGAATTGGTGCCTTTATAAGAAAAGGAGGAGACAATAGAGCTCTCTCTCAACCATGTGAGGACACGGCAGGAAGGCAGCCTTCTGCAAACCAGGTTAAGGCTCTCACCAGAACCTGACCTGCTGCCACCCTGATCTCAGCCTTCCAGCCTCCAGAACTGTGAGAAAAGAAATTTCTGTTGTTTAAAATACCCACTCTACGGTATTCTGTTATGGCAGCCTGAGCTGACTTATGCTAATGCCCAGATAATCAATATTTTAGGCTTGTGCGCCAGGACCAGCTTACAAAGCTTATCCTGGAATGCCTTTCTAAGAAGGTAACAGTTGACTGAGAAATCAATAATGAACGGGATCCAGTTATGCAAAATTCAAGGTGTTCCTGGCAGAGCAAACGGTAAGTGCGAAGTTCTCAAGGTGGTGGAGGTGGTAGCCAGCTGGTGGTGGGTAAGGTGTGCTCAGGACCACAATGGACCCAGTGTGTCTGGTTTAGAGTGTGAAAGTATGAGACATGTGGAAAAAGGAAGGAGAACGAGGAGGGTAAAGTCCTGGCGAGAAGATGGAAAGAAACTTGGATTTTCTCATAAGGGTTGTAGGAAGATTTTGAGTGTGTGCCTGTCTGTTCTGTGTTTACCTTCGTGTTTCTTTTGGACACTTTGAAGCCTGGAAGTAATTTGATCTGATTTATGTTTTTTTTTTTTTTAAAGTCCCTTTGACTATTAAATGGAATAGAACGTGGATGCCCAGTTGGGAGTCATTTATAAACCTGCAACATTGGTGCTGGAAAGAGTGGGTAGATTTCAGGTCTTATTTCCATGTGGAATCATCAGGATTTGTGGATGGGTTACAAATGGAAAGCAAGAGAAAGACAGGATGACGCACCGTGTTTTGGTTTCAACAACTCTAAGAAGTATGGTGCAATTCACTAAGATGGAAAAAA